AGGTAAGTGAAATCATATCATTTGTGTGGAAATGGACAGATCTGTACAATTTTTAGGGAAGTGTAACTTTTCTGTGATTTCTATATCTCTCCAACAGTTTCCAGGAAGGGACAACAGACTCAAATCACTTATCAGTGGAAGCCTGGAACAGCCTTCAGTGCTGAGTCATACATAGGATGTTCAATGTTTGTTTGAATGAAGCAAACTTTGACTTCATGAATTTCAGGAACTTATTAATGCTACTTATTTATTCTTTAGCTGAACAAAACCATTTAGGAACATCTATGGAAGTTATAAGATAGGTTCTAGCTTCTAGTTGTAATTGTGTGAGAGTTAAATTTAAAAACAACACAAATGAATTTAGAACCACAGGCCCTAATGCTATAGAAGACTTCAGAGAATATAAAATATACAAGGATATGAAGTTGATGGAGCAGTTAATACTCTATCAGGTTCCCTAAAGATGGCTTTCATTGCTATAAGTCAGTCTTTTGGAAATAATCCTACATATAGAGTGAAAATCCCTTTCCCATATTTTATAGTGCTGTTTACAATACTAAAAACCTAAGTTTGACTCACGACAGCTTATATTGGAAGAGATGATAAAGGGGAAACTGCAGTAGGGATGTACGATAAATGAAAAAAATTTAATTAATAAAACAACCCTGAATTTGTACAAAAGCCCATGTGTAAAAGCCAGGCTCATAGGATCCATCATTCCAAACTAGCAAAGACAATATGTAAATTTTGACATAAGCTATTCAGTGCACCACTCAGGTTCAGGGTGATTTCCAAGGGAGATGCTAAACTCCAGAGGCCCTGAAAAAGTCTAAAATGCAAAAACACATATTAGACTAGCTTCTACTTATTTCTTCCCTTTCTTTGAGATATGTTCAGGTTTTATTTGTATGAAATTTTCTTAGCTTTTTGTGATTATTCATTGACACTTCTGTCATCTCAATGGACTGCAAGAATTTTCCCTATAAAATTTTACTTCTCCTTTGATCTTTCAAGTTTAACTGACATATAAAAATTAGTACTATGGAGTATCATAAAATCTTTGACACATGTATGCCTTGAGTGATGTTAAAATGAAATTAAGTGTATTTATCACCTTAAGTCGTCATCAATTCCTTATGGAGAAACTTCCAAAATCTTTTTTTAAGCTTTTCGAAACACGCAATGCACTGTTGTTATCTGTGGTTAAAGCTCTGTGCTATCCAACACCAGGAGCTACTCCTGTCTCACTGTGCTTAGCATTACGTGAGTCCTCCCTCCACATCCTTCCTGATGCCCAACTGTGCTAGTTTAAGTGAAAAAAGTCAACCATAGGCTCAAATATTTGAACATTTGGTCCCCAGATAGTGATGCTGTTTATAGAGATGGTTCAACTTTGCTGGAGGAAGTACATCACTGAGGGCTTGCTTTGAGAGTTCATAGCCTTACCGACTTCCAGTTTATTCTGTTTCCTTTTTGCAATTGAGTATGTAATCTCCTGGCTCCCTGTTCTAGCCACCTGCCGCCATGCCTCCCTTGCCTGAGCCATATGGACCCTTATTCTGGAACTGTAAGTCCAGATAAACTCTATTCCATAAGCCTTTTTGGTCATGGTGTTTTTTTCACATCAATGAAAAATAACTAATACATCTCCTCTCCTGGGCTCTCATAACCACCATTCTAATCTCATGGACTATCCCTAACTTCCATGTAAAAGTATGGGATTATATAACCCTGCTTTCATAAAGCAAGCACCAAGTTAATTAAGGATACAGAGAAAGATGACTCACCACTAGAGATTTATTTTAGTAACAAAAAATCAGAATATGTTTATTCCATTCTAAGTAAAATATTTTATCATTGTAAAAGATTAAGTTGTTAATTCACCCAGTGCCATATGTTTTCAATACATAACAATTAAAGTGTGTTATCATTATCCTCACTCACAAAGTCTTATTATCTGGATATCCAGATATCCATAGCTTTCATCCAGAGCTTCATTTCACTGCCATTCATAAGTGTTACTTCAAATCCAGAGCTGGCCACCTTCCAGAGTTTTATCATAAGTCAGAACAGTTGCCGATCTGAAACTCACTTGAACACCCCACACTTTCTTTCCTCTAATGGTTCATAGTGCTTAAAATCTACAGTACTCAATATGGCCTCAAAATCTGCCTTAGCATAATATTCCAGGTACCACTACATAAATAATTAACCCAAGAGATATGGTGATTTACCATATCAGAAACAATAATAAATCAGAAAATTCATTTCTTGGACTCTATTCTCCATTTCCCAATCCAGCTCTGAGTGTGATGATTTTAGGATTAACAATACATAGAAATTCAAAATTTATGAGCCATCACCTTTGTATCATTAGAGTATTAATGAAGTCTCACTAAGGAAAAAAAAAACACTCCTTCTGGTCAAGAAAACAGCATCTTTGGCCTAGGTGGTGACATAACATTCCAGTTGGGCCAGGCCAGTCACATGTCCAAAGTATGACTCCTAGGGAGGTAGGCTTCTCTTAAGCCAGTGTAAAGAGGTAGATGGAGTGTATTTTCCTTTAATGAGACACTGCATTTTTTCTTTCCATAGATTCCTCCCTACAGCACAGTGTCCTACAGAGTGCATCTAGCCAGCTTTCTAAGACAGCCATCTTCCTGAATCACACAGAGATTCCTTTCCCTTCTATCTGTGCTCTAAGCACTTCCCCTAACAATTTGAGCTTACTTACTCCTTGCCATGCATCTACTTGTCTGTCACGTGTCTGTCTAACCTCCATGCTGATTCAAAAAGCAGCGTGGTTTTCTTTTTTTTTCTCTTTTCCATTATGCTTCTCTGGTGAGATTTATTGCTTGACTTCCCTGAGGGTTTTTCTTTTAAACTCTAATAAAATTGTCTTCAAAATTCCACTTGAGTCCATTCTTAAATTCTTTTAGCAATAAGACTAAGACCCTGAAGAAGAGAAAAACCTTCTTCTGAAAAGATAATCAAGACAACTAGAGAGTATCTTTTAAGTCACTGATACTCACCCTTTGTTAGATCAAAAAATACTGAGGAAATAGAGAGGAGTTTCAAAAAAAAAAAAACCACATCAAGTTCTCAAGACACCCTTGTCAACATACTTTTAAGTGTACAATAATATAGATAGATAGATAGAAGTATAGATTTGTTGAGGATCCTTGCCTGAGCAAACTTTGGGTGTCTGACAAGAAGCCAGGCTAAAGACATTGAATGTATGCAAATAGGTTTCTGATCCCCACATTCTCGAGGCTTCTTCCCTCATGAATGTCAAGTAGAATATGCCAGAACAATAAAAACAAGTTCAGGCACAGAAAGCATTTTCATTTTCCATATAAAACAGCATCAGCCTTTTCCCATGCTGACTCTGCAAGGCAGCTTATTTACAAATATATAAATAGCTGCAACTTTACTCCAGGCCCATTGAAAAATCAAAATGGCATCATGCAAGAGGAGCATCCTAGCATACTTGGCCCAATGAGTGAAATGTGAGTGGAGATGAGCCAAGTGACTTGACACTCGCTAGTCAGCTTAACCAGACACCCTTCAGTTTCCTGTCATGGAGGAACCCAGGGCTATGCTCTACAGAGCCAGAAAATTCACTTTCATTGATGGTCCAGAGACTGGGGGATGATTTAGAGCCGAAGGTTGGAAAGCAAACTTCAATTCATTTATAATCCTGTGGACTCAAAGGGAGAATAACATCGCCTAATCGTGGCAATACATTTAAAATCATCTTAATCTGCTTTCATGAATGTCCAGTGATTTTGGAATGACTCACTCCAGTCAATTCTTTTCCCACATTGCCAGACTTACAGGGATTTAAATCAACAGGGGAAAAAAGAAGTCAGAAAAATAATACATCTTAATGTTTGAACAGAATGCATTGCCTTTCCTAAATTTATTAAGAAATGTTATCTACCAGGAGTTAGTCTTTCCTCCCTCTTTCCCTCTCTCCCTTCTTCCCTCCCTTCCTCTCTCTCTCCCTCCCTTCCTCCTTACACACACACACACACACACACACACACACACACACACACCATGTACAAAACCATGTATCTTGCTTTTCCTTACAGCGTATGGATAACCAAGCATGGAGCTGCTGGGTGCCCTTGGTGTCTGCTCGTGAGGTCACCTGAACAGCTACACCTTATGGCACCTAATGAAAGTACTGTGCACAGCAATCACTCCTTATATATACCTACAATATCAAATTATGCTCTTCTTTAACATCTTTGTTTATCATCAATGAATGAAAGGAAGAATACCATTAAAGTCTTCCAAAGCATTGCAAATCGTGAAGTTTAAAAGAAACATTTCTAGAGGGGAAAGCGAGTTATGAACTTGTCAATATGCAGAATCTGAGGATGGGCAACAAGATGTGTGTCGAAAGTGAGAACACTCATGCATGCTGTAATAATTTTCACACAGAGACATCTATGCTGAGTGCTAAATCAGGGTGGGGGAGGGCTGTGGTGCTTTTCCATAGCAGTGCATTTACACACAAGGATGTTCAAGTTTGACCCAAGGTATAAGTACCAAACAAACTAAACTGCAAAGCAATTTCTTGTAACTTCAAGCTCTATTCAGAATATGGAGGAAGCACCCAAGGGTGAACTATTATTCTAATTCACCATAAAACAGTATAGACATGAATACAGTAGTGGTCTTTTGTCTCTGAATCTACATTGAGCCTTATGTTTAAAAGTTCACTTTTAAAGTCAGATATCAGTTATGTTTAATTCAAATGCTAGCAAGATTACTCTGAAAATGTATTTAATTTTCTAAAGACTATTTCTTTGTGCATGTAAAAGTTCCAATTGCAGAGTTTTATCGATAAATACATGTCGTACATTCCTTACAGCACTGGGGGGGGCACTACTTAGCTTTTATATTTTTGAGCAAGAATTTGGAATGTCCTTAGAAAACAATTTTTGAAGTACTGCTAAAATGAAAAGAAAACGAAGTAGTTTACTCACCTAGTGTCTCTGAGAAGAAGTGCACTTCCCAATTTGAAACAGGGTTTATCACCTTCGCAAAATGCAGGCCTCAGAGCAAAGCTCTCTGCCAGATCAAAGCCTAAAAAATGTGACAGGCTATTAAACTGAGCAGTAAATTCACAGACATATTGATTTTTACACAGGAGTTTGTTATCCATATCCACAGCTTGATTGGTCTAAAATAAAAATCTTCCTGTTTGAAATCAACATTTATGCTTGATTTCTTTTTTGCTTATTTTCCTTTTAGGGTACAAAAGAAGTAGAATTCTCTTTGCCTGAAGAAGGCATAGCTATCTTTCTGAAGAATGGTTAGTAAATAGTTCTCTCTGGCCTTGCCTGGTCTGATTGCACAGCAGGATTCCTGCCTCAGCCTCCCCAGGGCTAAGAGTGCAAGTGTGTACAACCATCCTTGATTCTCACAGATGTTTCAAGGTGATACAATATCATTTTGCTTTAATTTAGGAACTGACCGAAGTAAAATGTTATGGTAGTTCATTGTACCATCTCTAAAGTATAAACAGAACATTAGCCAGAATAAAAATAGTGGTCATTCTTTTCAAATCTAAACAACCTCTTACAAAAACATACGTCAGGAGAATTATGTGAATGTGGGGAAATGATTAGAATTCAAGTGTAATATATGTGTTCTCATCACATATATGTGAGAGAGTTGGAGAAAAACAAAAAGAAAATATGAAAAGGAAGGGGAGGGAGGAAAAACAAAGTGGGAATGCTGAGCGGGTTTGGTAGCACCTGCCTGTGATACATTTTGGATTCTGAGTTTGAGGCCAATCTGGGCTATACAGGGAGATCCTGTCAACAAATGAACAAAAAAGGAAACAGCAATAACAACAAAACCAGCAAAGGCAACATTCATAACAAAAGAAAATATAAACAATAAGAAAAGTATAAAAATGTTACACCAGTATAGTATGTAAATTATGACTACATCTGGATGTTAAAACATCTTCTCAATAAATATTATTTTCTCTTTTCAAAACTGCAACAGAAGGCACAACGTTTGTAATTTTACATGGCTTTTGTTCTGCACCAAGGTGAAGTGTTGTTATCCTGAGATTAAACAATGTAGAACTCTGCTGACAGCATTTCACCTGAAGCACCTACTTCCCATTTCTATACAGATGTTATGATCTCAACTTATAAGGTTGGCCAAGGAGCACTCAGGCACACCTAGGAAAGGCTTCTCCAAGTCAAGAGGATAAAATCTCTGGCTTGGTGGAGACCTAACATTCCATCTGGGCAGTCAATGAGCTGGCTGTGGAGCCACCCCTAGGACAGGGGATACACCATAAACCATACTAAAGACATAGGGAAATCATTATTCCTTTAATGAGATAATGTATGTTACCCTCTCTGGATCCCCACTCCCCAGAGCTGTAGCTTACAGGACTGCAACCACACAGTGTCCAATTACTATGAATGGACACTTTGCACAGAGTGCTACTTAGCAAAGAATGCTTACCTGAAACTTGAAGTTTGTTTCTGTCGTCTTGATGTCCCTCCATCCTCAGTATAGGGCAGGTTGTTTCTATTTAAAAGACAAGCACGAATTATGTGAACTAAAATTTCCATCCTACTTTTTTCCAAATAAAATTGAAAGCTACCATGCAATCATAAACAAGTTAAAAGTGAAAATAAAAACAAAACTGAACTCTGTTATTAAATCTCTATGAAGTGGGGATGATGATCCCCACCCCACAGTATGTCTATGAAGATTTAATGTTTGTTCCTATAAAAGAAGAGAATATTGCCTGGCCCATGGGGAGAACACAGTGACGCTGGCTATTATTATCACTATTACTCAAACATCCACAGGTTTCTGTATATTTGAATAGGAATCAGCTAACTTTCACAGCTTCATTAAACTCTCAAGTCCAATGCATACACTGTCAATTACACAAGTGAATTATTGCTATATTTTATCAGGTCATCCTAAACCTTTATAAGAGAAGGGAACATGAATAGAACAAACTAAATAAAATTAGAAAGCAAAGATCTTTCTCTATGATAAAAATTGAGGAAGCTAATACTTTACTAAATTTGTCCATAATACTCATGGATAAAGAAAAAGTTACTCTACTCAGTGAGTTTACATGTCCAATAAAACCACAGCATAATGTATATTCATACATTAGTTTTGAAGTAATATATTGAAATCCAATTTGAAATAATGTATGTAAATCTAATTCAGACGATTACCACACATGAAGCAATGCTGACAAAACTGCAACCCATTTTTAAAGTCATGCCACTACACCACAATACAGCTACACTCTTAAATTAAACACATTAAACCTTTTACATTGTATAGTCACAAGTCCAATTCTCCACATCAGAATTTTATGTTTGAGTTTCACGTCTTAAATTTTATAGTATAGGAAGGAAATAAAATGTTTATGGCCAAACTGGCCATCTGCTTGGCTGAAAGTGAAAAGCTCTAATTTTCCAGTTAACCTCTGAATGCCCCAGCCCTTCATTTAACAAATATACTTTAGACCTAAAGTTGTAACAAGGAATCAGCATAGCATATTTAACTAGAAGGGTCTTAAGGTCTAAGTACTGTTATCACATCATTTGCAAGTAAAAAGCAAATAACTATTCTTTCTGAATGACAATTAAAATCCCAATTTCAACAGATTAGGGTGTGTGTGCATTTGAAAACTGACAAGCTTATTCTCTAGTTTAAATGGAAAAGCAAAGAAACAAAAATAGCTAAAGGCAAAGTTGAATAACAACTTGGAGACAAACCATGAGATATGAGGTATCTTCAAGAACTACAGCAATTCAGTGGGAAATGAGGGGTCTTTTTAATTGGTGGGGTCTGGTACTAGATATTGATACAGGAAAAATTAATCTTGATTTTTTTACACCACATGCAGAAGTTGGAGAAAATTATAAATGTGAAAAGCAAAACACAAAGCAGGTTTGGTAAAGCATAAAGCTTTATGAACTTGGAGAAGCAAAGGCTTTCATAAAAGAGACAAAGCATTACTGTTAAAAGAAAATATTGATAAATGGGCTTCATTAAATTAAAGCACTTATTAATCAAGAGATCAGAAGTGTGAAAAGACAAGCTAGAGAATAGGAGAAGTTATTTATAACACATGCATCTTAAAGAGAGAAGGCAAACCACACGTACGGAGAAGCTATCTAAGGAAGTTCTAAGTCTAGAACATAACCTGAGCCCCTACAAATGAGCAAAACGTGAGAAAACTTATTTCTAATACACTCTAAGCATTCTAAGCACTTCACAAAACAGAATATCCAAATTAGCACCTCACATATTCAAAGGGGTATCACCTCATCAGTAATCAGAGATGGAGAGGAAACTACGGAGATTCCATTAAATGACCAAAATCAAAGAACTGTCATTCCAAGTGTTGGTGAGGATATGACAAATGACTAACATCTGCAGCCCTTCTACATTGTGTGTGATGGTGGAGAGTGAAACAACCACTTGAGAAAACTGTTTGACAGTATTTACTGTTGCTAATGATGCATGAACTCTAGTAAGAGAAACTCAATGGCCCAAGAGACATGAAAGCAAAACATGAATATAAATGACCTTTCTAGATAAGAATGCCTGCCCTATTATTACTCATAGAGCTACAACCTAAAAGTTCATCAACATGCTGCACAGGATTACTGCAGAACAAACAATAAAATAATTGGGGGCATGAGGGTGGGGGGGAAAGGAGCTGCTACAATAAGAGCAAGAGAAGAGGAGAAGAGGAGAGGAAACGGAGGGGCAGAAACATTGAGTTGGGGGAAGAATAGAGGAAAGAGAGCAAGATGAGAGATACGATATCAGAGGGAGCCACTGTAGGCCCGAGAAGGGATCTGGACTCAGGGAGATCTCCAGAGACCTACAAGGATGACACGATCTGACAATCCAGGCAATGGTGGAGAGGATAACCTAAAAACCCTCCCCCTAA